GCACGTCCGGGCCCCGGCAGTCTCCGGCGAACGCCCCCCGGCACAGGCTGTCGATGGCAATGTCGGCCAGCTGGGGAGCCAAGGGGAGAGGAGCCGTCAGCCCCTGCCCTGCCATCACCCTGCTGGGCACAGGGAGCCTGCCCCAGCCCCGTCCACTGGGTGCGGGCAAGAGAGAAGGGATCTTCCCAGGAGAGTTCTGCAGAGCCAGCAAGCAGGAGGTGCAAAGAAGACAGCTCCCATGTCACCCATGGGGCAGAGACCACCCTGGACCCGAGCACTGCTTTCCTTCCTTCCTAGAGTGACCCGAGATAGCCCCAGGTCCACCTGCCCTTCCCACCCCCAGGACTGGGCAGATGAGGCTGCCAGCCAACCCCCCAAGGCCCTGCTCAGGACAGAGTGCAGACAGGAGAAAGAGGCCGGTCCCAGGCCTGCAGTCAGCCCCAGCCCACTTCCCCAAAGCCCTCCATGCCATGCATAGCTCCCACTCCCCACACCCCCAGCTACTGGGGAGAGGTGTCAGGCCTGCAGTCAGACTGTGCCTAGCACCCGCACCCAGCCAGCGGTTTCTCCTGCACTTGGACAGGGGCAGGGGCAGGACGACTCCACATGCCGGGTGCAGGAGCCTCCACTCTGCAGCTCCTACAGGTTGGAGCACATCCCCCTCCCCTCATGGGACTCCCAGCACCACAGTCTTCCCTCAGATGCCCCAGCCCTGCCCTGGCCAGCTGGTGGCCTGTTCGTCCCTCTCCTCCTCTAACACTTTGCGTAGTGCTCTGGAGCCCAAGGGTGGGAATTAGGCTGCTCACCATTAGGATGTCAGGCATGATCAGATGGGGAAACTGAGTCACAGAGGGGGAAAGGCTCTGGCTTCAATGTGTCTGTGGCAGAGCTGGGACAGAACCTGACTTCCAGTCTCTCCTGCTTCACCAGTGGCCAATGGAGAAACCCATCCTGGCAATGCAGCTACCCCCTTTCCAAGGCAGGAAGCGGCAGCTGCTCCACCGCACAGCGACAGTGCCTGGCAGTCTGGGATGGGAAAGGCAGAGCCCTGCATGCAGCAGTCAGGCGCTAGGAAGCTCGGCAGGCTCGTCTCAGGGCACCTGGGTTCTCAGCCTGGCTCTTGGGTCTCCAGTGGGCCCAGGCGACAGGGGCTTGAGTCAAGACGCCATGACAGTGCAGTACAGATCCCAGGCTGCCTGGAGCCCATCTGGGAGGCCCTGCCTGGCTCCCTTCCCCCACTCCCTGCTGGGTGAAGATAGGCAGAACTGCTGCCACCACACCCTGTGGCCCAGCCCTATCTTCTCCCCCCGTGCCCTGCCTGTCAGCTCTTCTCCCCACCCCAGGCTCCCTGCCCAGCACGGAGCCACACTCGCCACCCGGCTCCCCAACCTGGGCTAATACCTCCTTTCCGAAGCGGCGGCTCACAAAACCGTGGATGGTCCCTGCTGGGTGAAGATAGGCAGAACTGCTGCCACCACACCCTGTGGCCCAGCCCTATCTTCTCCCCCCGTGCCCTGCCTGTCAGCTCTTCTCCCCACCCCAGGCTCCCTGCCCAGCACGGAGCCACACTCGCCACCCGGCTCCCCAACCTGGGCTAATACCTCCTTTCCGAAGCGGCGGCTCACAAAACCGTGGATGGTCTCATCTGGCTGAGTGCCCCGGGGGACTGTCAGCTCCCGCAGCCCACTCCAGAGCAGGGGCTTGGTGAAGGGCGGCACCGTCCGCAGAACACCACTGCCAACACACACACAGGGGTTACCGGGCTGGGGCGCAGGAAGCGGAGTGAACAGAGGCACAGCAGTGGCTGGATAGGCCTGTGGGCAGGGACACCCAGGCAGCGGTCACGGGCCACGTACCCAATGCCAGACGGCAGCTTGTGCAGCGCCCCACTCACGTAGAGGTAACGGTTCTTGGACGCTGGGTGGTCACCAGGCACCGGAAGGATATCTGCGTCCAGGCCGAGTTCGGAGACCTAGGGGGAGACAAGTAGGCGAGTCGCTCACTGCCTCATGCTACTGGGGACTAGGACAGCGCCTTGAGGCCATGGCCAAAATCGGGAGTCCTGCTGCCCCAGACTCCCTACCCCTGAGACTGGTGGGGTCTTGTCACGTCAGCGTCTAACAGAGATGGACGGGGCAGGGCAGACCAAATCGACTGGCTCTGCCCAACTGCACGCAGCCACTTTGCCGACACCACCCAAACCGCCCCAGAATTGCCAGATGTTCCCACCCTTGGACCGTGCCCTACGGAGTCCCTCTAAGCATCACCTGCCCTCCCCCACCCTGTAACGTACTGGCATGTCTGCTTCCTTGCCAAGGCCCTTCCTTGCCAAGGCAGGTGCACAGCCCTTCAGCGGGGGCAGCCCCAGCTATTGGGATCAGGATCATCTAGCTGCCCTGTCCTGCTGGCCACCAGAAGGCAGCTCCCAGCCCCTTCCTTAGGAGATCAGTTCAGCTGGCCAGATCTCATCTGGACCCAAAGCCAACACTCCATGTCCTCACCCCCATCTGCATCTTGCCCCCCATCCCTATCCCGCAGGCTCTGCCCACATACCATAAGCAGAGTGTTCTTCCCCACGGTGCCGGCAGGTCGGATCCCCCTGGGGCCATGCTCAAATATGGCCCCATCTTCAGCACGAGTGGAATGGAGCCAGCCACCCAGGCGGCCACTGTCCTCCAGCAGGATTATCTGTGGGGAGGGAGGAACCCATCAGAGCAGAGCTGCAGTCACTGCAGCATTTCTCTGCCTGCTCTCTGTCACACCATGGCGCTAACGTCGCTGGAGCCCAGCACAGCCCAGTCCAGTCCAGTCACCCAGTCTTCCTGGTCTGTGGCCTATGGAGGCCATTTCCCAGCATGAAGCACCACAGTCAGCACTGGACTGGGCCTTACTGGTCACCCCAGCACCAAAGAGCTTGGAACCAAAGGGTGTGTCTAGACTACAGGGTTTTGTCGACAAAAGTGGACTTTTGTTGACAAAACTACACCTGCGTCCACACTGCCTTTGAGTTATGTCGACATAACGTCGACAAAACTCAGCAGTTTTGTCGACGTATGTAAACCTCATTCTACGAGGAATAACGCCTTTTATCGACAGAGTTCTGTCGCCAGGAGGCATTATTGCATCTACACTGTCATGTCGACAAAGTGGCTTGCTTTGTCGACAGAACTGGATGTCGTCTAGATGCTCTTTGTCGACTGTATCTGTTGACAAAACTTCTGTCGACAAAACCCTGTAGTCTAGACATACCCAAAGAGTGGGGAAAGAGCCCTAGAACCTGCCCCACAGCCAGCCACTGGGCATCCTGCACAACTAAGCCTGACAGAAGGGACCAAGGACCACTCCAGGCAGGGTGATGCCCCAGCTGGGAGGGCAGCTGCAATCACAAGGCCTCTGAATGCTGCAAAAGTCAGCCCTACAACAGGCCCCATTCCCTCCCCCCAGCATTTCCAGCAGAGCCCACGGACTAATAGGTTGGGGAGGGGGGGGCACCTCTACCCCTGGAAGGCCAGGCAGGGCATCCCCAGCACTCTTTGTGGTCTCCACAGAAAAGCCTCAGTTAGTATCCAGAGCAGTGGGGCAGCCCCATAGTCAGCAACTCATCACAACAACCCCCCCCTCCCCCCCGCAGGCAGTTTCTGGGGGTGCTGCCACAGGAGACCTCACCTTGGGAGCATTGGGGCTCTTGGCCAGGTGGTAGCAGGCAGTGAGGCCACTGATCCCACCACCCACAACAGCCACTGTTCTCTGCATCCAGCAGCCTGGGGAAGAGAGGAGAGAGGTGAGCAGGAGAGGGGCTGGCCGGTCCCGGCACGGGGATCAGCTGCTTCCCCCATTCTGGGCTCCCTGGATCTAGATCCCACCCAGGCAGCACCATGGCACAGAGCCACAGGGAGGACGGGACCCACGACACGTGCTGGGCTCAAGGCACCTGCTGCCCCGCTCCCAGCCTGACCCCCCCACTATCCCCTAGCGCCCCCCCG